CTGGGAGGAATGCTCAAGGATATCATTCAAGGCCAGGAACTGCCCTTCAGCCGGTCATTCCACGGCGTCAACATTACCACCAACGACTCGATGACGGCAGCTCTCATGAGGATGCTGCTAGGGTCCATCACTTCCTTCGGTTCTGCTAACTCTAGCTCAGTGCCTATCGGTACGAGCGACCCCGTTCTCGATCGCCATCCTTCTTTGTTGAGCGGCGTGTCTTGGTTGCGCAACATGACCCGGTACCCAGTCGTAAACCGGACCATCATCGGCGTGCTAGAAGGCCAGATCATCACGATATTGGTCATCATCTCGTTCATTCTTGTCATCCTGGTCCGCGACTACGTTGTTCAGCAACAGCCCGAAATCAATATGCGAGCCGCCTTTGCCGCCAACGACAACGCACAAGCCCAGCCGCAGCCTGAACCGCACCATCAACATGAAGAGCATTTTCACGACCATGATCATGAGCACGAGCATGCACACGCCCATGATGGTGCTGGCATGCTCGATGAATACGGCGCGGCAGATCTGAGAGGGCCAAGTGACAGCGAGGATGATGACGATGAATCATTTACTGGCGGTCGACGCGGAAGCCAGGATGATCTACCTCACATGGCTTGGGATGAACGGGAACCGATGTCCGAGCTCGCAGCTCCACTGCTGCCGGCAGGCTTGCCGGCGAGGGGACTCGGCACTTTTGGGCCCCGCGCCCAAGGAGGACCCGAACCCGACTTTGATTTCAACACACCACCCGAAGGTGGGTCCAACAAGGACTCGCAGACCCCTGTAGCAACTGTTCACGAATACCTCCGTATCTACCGACAGGCCAATGGTGACCCCGAGAAGATCCTCAGAATTATTGAGGAGGAGAAGTTGGATGAGCCACTTGGCTATTGGGCAAGGATCACCAAGTCGATGATGGAAAAGAACCGAGATTCGGGTGCTTCCCAGTCGAAAAAGAGCCAGCCTGGACCCGAAGGACCTTCCACCTCTAGTGATTCTCAAGCTCCGTCCCCATTCTCGGTTCAACTGCCCGCCCCTTCGACACCGCAGTTCTCATGGCCGCCGCAGCCACTTGGCGAGAGTAGTACCAATGGGACAGGAAAGGGCAAGGAGAAGGAAATGCCGACAGATTTTGGCTTCGAATCCAGTCTGGGAGACGAACGTGCAAGCTCTTCAAGATCGACTCCCTTCCAGAGTCCTCTTCGGCCTCGCTCCGTTTCCGATGGCCCTCAAATGAACAACACCATCAACCCACTTGCCAACAACAGCTGGTCATTCTCCGGCTTGAATACTGCACCGCAGGCCGAACCCCAGGCGCAGGAGCCAATGCAATCACTTGGCTTCGATCCTCAGGGACAAGAATTCGGTCTTCCCCCAGCCCGATTCACGCCACCGCGAAGCAATACCCCGGATTTCGGTTCAGATGCGGATCACGATTTTGAGACCGTTGAGCCGATTCACGAGGACGGGCTATTTGGCTTCAACGAGCCAGAGATGCAACTGCCTGATCTGGTAATCGGGCCAGCTCAAGCCAATGACATCCCCGAGGAGCCGCTCGAGGACGTTAACGGCTTGCCTCAGGATGCCGAGGATGGTAGGATAGCCCAGCGGCCGCCTCTCCAGCGGGGAGTCATGGACCGCGTTGCCGACTTCATGTGGGGCGACATTGAGGTGCGAGAGCTAGATATTGGCGGCCGAGACGACGATGCCGCTCATGAACATGATCATGATCATGAAAGCGACGACGATGACTTTGATGATGATCTGGATGATGACGAGCAAGACGCTGTGGAGCAAGACCGCGAGGTTGTTGAAGCTGCCGTCGCCGCCGGGCTCGATCCTGAAGCGATCGATGATGCCGAAGATTTCGAGGGCATCATGGAACTGATCGGCATGCGTGGACCCATCGCTGGTCTCTTTCAAAATGCAATCTTCTGCGTTGTGCTTGTCTCCGTCACGATCTTCGTGTGCGTTTTCATTCCTTACAACCTGGGACGTGTCAGCGTCTGGGCTGCCATGAATCCGATGCGTCTTGTGCGAATGCTCTTTAGCGCGACAAAGTTCATCCAAGACGTTGCGGTTGGCATCATGAGCGGATTGACCAGTCTCACCTTGTGCTTCATTTATACAACAGGACGCATGATGGGCTTCCCAGCCAAGAATGGGGTCGGCTTGCTCATGAAGAAGACGTTCGACATCTTCATGAGTGCTTCAAGCAGGGTCCTCGAGAGCCTGACCAGCGAATTGCCCATTATTTCGACTACCGAGATGCAGAACTTTTCCGCCATCAGCCATGAGGCACTGCTCGACTTCAAGTCCTATCTCTCGGGATCCTTTGCTGCTGTGGGAGACACACTTGGCGCCATCTTCGACCGCGACCTCATAGCCAACACCAAGTATGCAGCGTCACTGTTAGCGAACGCAACCATGTACGCATGGGACGCCCTTCGCGATGTTCCCATTAGCATCCTCAACCCTGGATCATGGGTCATCAGCTTCAGTGTGCCGGAGCCCTCGACCGTCGTTAACCCTGCACTATCGTACTGGTCAGGGACGGATCGTTTCTGGGCAATTCTCTGCGGTTACTTCACCTTTTCAGCAATCAGCGCGCTCTACCTGAAGCGGGGATCGCCCTTCTCGACGGGGCAGACAGGCCAAGAATGGGAAGCTTCCTTAATCGACTTGCTGAACCAAGCTAGCGGCGTCATGAAGGTCATTCTTATCATCAGCATCGAGATGCTCATCTTCCCACTGTACTGCGGTCTCCTCTTGGACGCGGCTCTACTGCCCCTTTTCGAAGCAACCACTTTGAAGTCGCGGGTCGCCTTCACCGTCAATTTTCCGCTCACCTCCATCTTTGTACATTGGTTCGTGGGAACGGGGTACATGTTCCACTTTGCCCTCTTTGTTTCCATGTGCCGAAAGATCATGCGGAAAGGTGTCCTCTGTAAGTTGGTGTTGTTTCTGTCACTGGTTGTTCTTACTAACAAACATCTACAGATTTCATTCGCGATCCAGACGATCCCGAGTTCCACCCCGTTCGCGATGTACTTGAACGCAACGTCGTGACGCAACTGCGCAAGATTCTATTCTCTGCCTTTGTATACGGAGCTCTGGTCATCGTTTGTCTCGGAGGTGTGGTGTGGGGTCTGGCCCTGTCTCTTCCAAGCGTTCTGCCGATTCATTACTCTTCCAATGAGCCTGTCTTGGAGTTCCCCGTCGACCTCTTGTTCTACAACTTTGCTATGCCTCTAGCAGTCAAGTTCTTCAAGCCCAGCGATGGCTTGCATGCCATGTACACTTGGTGGTTCCGCAAGTGCGCCAGAGGCCTTCGGTTGACCTGGTTCCTCTTTGGCGAACGCCGCATTGATGAAGAGGGCATTCTGGCGCTGCGCCCTGGCTCGGATCAACTTGCCCTCCCTTGGTGGAGGCGAGCCCTTCTCGAGGTTAACAAAGAAAACAAGGTGATACCGAAGACGTGGGAGGACACGTTTGAAGGTGGCACCGCGAAGCCATCGTCTGCCATCGCATCCGACCAGATGGTCATCCTCACCCTTAAGAAAGCACGCCTTGTCGAATCTGGACAGCTCCTCGAAGAGGGCCAATTTGTTCGGACCCCTGCCTCGGACCAGGTCAAAATTCCCAAGGGACGACGCGTGTTCATGCCGGTTTCTGAGGGCAACTCTCGACTGGACGGCAAAGATGACGCACCCGATGGCGAACTTTACTCGACGGACCAGTACCAGCTGGTGTACATCCCTCCGCACTTCCGTGCTAGGGTCTTCTTGTTCATCATGTTCATTTGGATCTTTGCCGCAGTCACGGGCGTCAGCTTCACAATCATACCACTCGTATTCGGTCGCAAGATGTTCAAGGTCCTAATCCCAGCCCACATTCGTACCAACGACATTTACGCTTTCAGCATCGGTATCTACATTCTGGGCTCCGCGGCATACTTCCTCTTCCATGCCCGTTCCATCTTCAACAAGATGAAAACGTGGGCATCTACAAATCTGCAGTCTGTGTGGCAGAGCGATGCTCCCATGCGTGTTGCGCTCATGGGCATTCATACTGCCAGGCTTGCTTACGCGTACACGATCCTCCTGGTCGTTTTCCCTCTCATCCTTACGGCCCTCATGGAACTGTACTGCCTCATTCCTCTTCACACTTACATGTATCCACCGACGCCTTACATCGTCGGGACCAACAATGGTGGCCAGTTCAAAGACGGCATCGCGGTGTCAAACCAGCACACGGCGAGGGTCATACAATCCTGGACATTGGGCTTGCTCTACGTCAAGCTCGGGGCTCGGGCCATCACCAGCCTGTACGAGGGCACTCGCATGGCGCAAGCCGTCCGCGCCGTCCTCCGCCGTGGATGGCTCCAGCCCGACGTTCTCGTATTGACGAGGGCCTTTGTTGTTCCTGGTCTGCTCATCGGTGGTTTGGCGATATTCGGGCCGCCGTATGCCGTTGGCTGGATGGAGTCACGCGGCATGCTCGGTGTACCTGCACCTGCACCGCATGAACTCAAGATGGTTTATCGTCTTTCTTATCCCGCAGGTGCGTTCTGCGTACTGGCAGCAATGGTATTATGGAGTATCGTCGGCGTCTTCAACAATTGGAAGGCGCGTATTAGAGACGAGGCCTACCTTATCGGGGAGAGGCTTCACAACTTTGGCGTCGGCGCCGCGGGTGCTGCGGGCGCGCGGGGGCCGTGGCGGATTCGAGGACGAGCGTAGAGTCCCTGATTAAAGGACTATTCTGGTTTTTATGTCATGATTACTCATATACGGAGGAGGGAGGTTTACTGGCGAACGCATTCGCTTCGTGTAGTTTATACATCAGACAGGCCGTACGCCTCTTACATAGTACGGTCTTTATTCTTATTACACTCATGAAGGTTCATGTCGACTGGACAACTCGTGTAAGCAGTGATTGAGTTGCAAACTTTAGGTAAGTCTCTCAGCTTTGCACCGCATCGTCGTCATATGCGCACATGTCACGTTTGCTCTTGAGCCATCGATTTGGAAACGAAGCTTTACGGGTCTTCAGCAGCAGTCTCGCTGCACTCGATTATACACGCTCCGAATCCAGTGCTTGTTTCATCGATTTGGCCGTAGCCAGATACCAGGCCGTCAGGAGGACCTCGTCATATAGAGAATGCTGCGACTAATGTACAGTTCACTTCCACCTCCCCGTCAAGAATAATCACCTGTCATCGCCAGAGATTCTTTCAAAACTTTCTAGAAGAACATGGCAGCACCGCCAACAGCAGCAGTAAACGACACCAAGAGACCAGCTACGGCGCCAGCGGAGAAGGCGGTACCGCCCAGGGCACCGGGCGCGGCGTTGGCGGTGCTCGAGGCCGAGGCGGACGGGGTCGAGGTTCCCGAGGATCCGGAGGACGGGGTGCCGCTGCTTGAGGAGCCGCTGGCGCTCAGGAGGGCTGTGAGGGTGGGGTCTGAGGTGAAGTCGACGGTGACTGTTGCGTTTTTGCAGTCTGAGCGGGTTGGCGCTGTGCCGGAGACGAAGTTTACTGCGGCGCACTGGGGGTGTGTTAGTTGGTATTTCAAAGAGTGAAGAATCTCATGATGATGGCATGAGTGAAGGTAGAGAAGTGAAGGTAGAGACATGAGGAAAACTCACAGTATACAAAAGCCCATCGGGCGAATGCGCAACAACACTAACAACACCCCTCTTGCCCGTCCAATTCCCCGGCGCCGCAACTTTTGGCTCGCAAAAATTGCCCAGGCCAGTCTGCATGACGATGGGGAACAGCTGCGTCCAGCCGCTCGCGGCGGTGGTGTCGAGCGTGGCGCGGAAGAGCCAGTTTGTTTGGGGGTGGCCGTTTTCCATGCCGATTGCGTCGCCTTCGACGTAGAAGTCTGTTGTGGCGGAGGAGGAGGAGGCGGTGTAGCCGCCGCAGGGGGCGGTTGCTTCGTTGTCGTCTGAGTCGCCTAAGGGTTTGGGGAGGGTGAGGGAGAAGTGGGCTGTTGCTGTTGAGGCGAGGAGGAGGAGGCGGGTGAGGAGGCGGGTCATTTTTGCGGTTTTGGGGGGGTGGTGGGAGTGCTGTAGGTGAGGTTGGTAATGTTTGTGTGAGGTGTAGATATGTGTGTTTGGTGGTTGAAGACTTTGGTATCGAGGCGCACAGCGCGGAGGGAGGACAGGTATTAGGATTGGGTTTGATAAGATGGTAAAAAGCAAGATGTGAAGGCAGATGGAGGGGAACACGGGTTTGTTTATGAACGAGACGGCGGCGCGTGGGATGGAATTGGTCAATGGGCGGGAGGAGAATGACCCGAGCACCGGGGTTCCCTTTTCTCTCAGTCTTCTGTAGGGCTAGCCTGGTTGCGCCGTTTGTCTCGAAGGGGCTTAGATTGGGTAACGGCAAAGCTCCTGATGAGCTTTTGCGGTTGTTTGGCAAGGGTAGTATGGAAATCTCTTAGCTGGGAGGACTTTCTGAGTGTGATACGGATACATGGCATCAGTGGAGTGGAGAGAGACGCAAGGTCTTGCCGAATCTTTCTCATCGTTACACGAGAGCGAGCGAGCCTCCGTTCTGGATCTTGAGGTAAGATACATACGAAAAGGATTTGAGAGATCCCGAATGGGTGAACGAGAACCTCGGATTCAATGGACTAGGATGCCTAGATCCGGCAATCGGCACATGGCGAGGTGGAATTGAGTTAAGTCCTGCAGTAAGAAAGAGGAAGGTGACTGACTTACTGGGGGCATTGGGCCCGGTGGCAGGAGGAAGGCTAGGAAGCAAAGATAAAACTTGCTCACTTTGGCTGTTATTGCCGAACTAATTAGCTCCAAACTTCACTTTTTATCACGTTGCATGGTTGCGTGTTTTCCCCTCTCTGTATGCATGAAAGAACCAAAGGTTCTCTCCTAGTTGAACTCTCCGCGCCGGGACTCTCGGGACGAGTCTTGGCTTTCACGTTTAGTGGAGATGACTGATGAGGCTCTTGTAGAGTCTCTGAGTGCCTTCGCAGGTTCCTCGTGTCTTTTCCCAGCGGGCAGCCTCTACGGATACAATGAACTGTCGTCGCGATGCCAACAATATTAAAAGGCGGCGGCGCGCGGGGACGGGTGGCTTGATGCTTAGACGGTTAGACCCATGGATGGAAGGGATGTAGTTAACCTTAGATAGACTAGCCCCGCGATGCGCGCAGGGACTTGCTGGCTGCGTGACAGGGATTGTGACCAATCATGAGGCCGTTTGGGAATGTCACTGAGAAGTTTTGAGCAAATTGTGGCGTTTGCGCAGATGGGATTGGGGGGGACTACCCCTGTTTGAGAGTTCGTCAACTCAGTCTCTCAGACTCTCTCTCGCTCACTCATCGACAAGGGGCCGGGAGGGGGGGGGGGGGGGGGGAGGATATCTGGGGAGAGGGGCACGAGGGGGTTTACGGGGGGTTTTGGGATTCATCTTCTGTCGTGAGCATGTTTCTAAGCTGGGCGGTAGTCTGTACGGAGTAGACCGTAGTAGAGGTTCGGCTGGTTTGGTGAATTGTCTTTGGTAGTGATTCCTTGAGACGCCTTGAGGATTAAACAAGCTTGTTTCTTAATATCGGGTGAAGAAGAGGACACAGATCAGAGGATGACGAGCATGAGCGATACCCGAGTTGAGACTTGAGAGTTTGAAGTGTGTGTAAGTCATGACCCGCGGGAAATCAAACAAACCTAAGAGCCCACACCTCTCTCTATCTGATGGATAAGGCCTTAGTAAACATGCCGCGAAAAACTAAAGCAGAGAGAACTTTCCCCCAAGAAAGTAAAGGAGAGTAAACTCTCGACGAAGAGGGTGTAAAGTGAAAGTGTAGCCGAGACTCCCGTCGTTGAGAAACGAGTCGAGGCATTTCGTACCGTGACTTGGGGCGGATCATCCGTCAGCCACCGTTGCTTGAAGCATCCCGTCTGCCCCATGGCCTAGGTTGTCATGCCGTGAGCATGCCAAACTTGTTCGGATGCATGCTGGACCGTGGTGCGCTAACGTCTTCTCTCTAAACCAGCGCATTCCGTGCCGCCGAGCCGGCTGCCCATTGTTACGTGTACCCTATTATCTCTTGTGTTCGTCTCTTAGCCAGTAGGTTGTCTTGCTTACGCTGCCCAGAGTCTTTGCCTCTTGAACTTGCTCAATCCACCTCATTCCTTCGGCCGATTTACCAATCTTCAAACGTCGTGTAGTCGAGGCGTCTGAACTGTTGGGAGCGAGGATCTACTTTCTTGTGTTTCAATCATTGGAAATAACAACAGTTCTCTGGGAGTTCATGCGCATGCGAATGGTTTTGTGAGATGGTTCCACGAATTTGCGCTACCTCATGACATCGGTGCGCCGTTGGCCTCTCCTCCCAACATCTCACGGCGGATTTCTTCATTTCATCAACTCGAATGAAGCGGTCTTGAACGGGTTCAGTAGAGAATCATCGGCGGAGCTGGAACCCGCCAATATTACGAAACAAAATTTCCAGCGAAGGACATCACAGCCTACGGCTATCGCACAATTGCAAAAGCCTCATCGTCATCAGTCGCGATGAGCCATAATCATGGAGGAGGAGGAGGAAGCATGGGAGGGGGCATGGCCATGGGAACAGCGCTGTTCCAGGAGACAAACGTTCAGCTTGCCCAGTCTTTCTGGTACATTATCGCAGGCGTTGTCGGGTTTCTGGGTATCATCCGCGGTATCAACTACCTAGAGGGCTGGAGAAGGTGAACAACTTCGCCACTGTGTCTGCCCTTTCCCCTCTCAATGCTGACATTATCATACAGACTCAAACGATGCCGCGCCGAGTCCGTACAGTTCCCGACGAAACCCTCAAATTTTATAACACAAGTATGGGCAACATCAACAGCGCTTGTCCGCGAAGCAGGGCACCCTCAACTCTATATCCCCATCAAGGGTCTGCGGTGGACGACACCACCGTCGCTAGGTCGCGTACTTGTGCTACTGGCCTACTGGGCCGTCATCATCTACATGATGGTTAATGACGCCGTCATCAAGGACGCCTACTTCTGGGAACGCATAGGGTTCCGCAACGCCTGGGTGACTGTCATGCAGATGCCCCTCCTCTATCTTCTCGCGATGAAGGTCAACGTAGTAGGCTTCATCATCGGCGCCTCGCATGAACGACTAAGCTGGCTTCACCGATGGGTCGCCAGAACAATGTTCGTGACGGCAACCGTCCACGGCTTCCATTTCTGGTCGGAATGGGTGCGAGCAGACTTTGTCGAGACACAGCTGAGAATCCTACCCGTCATCAAGTACGGCCTCGGAGCCTGGGGAATTCTCATCTGGACATTCCTCACCGGCATGACACCACTGCGCAGCATGGCGTACGAGCTGTTCCTCCTGCAACATATCCTCTCAGCGGTCCTCTTCATCTGGCTGGTCTACGTCCACATCCCGGCCTACGCGAAGCAGTACCTCTGGTTCTCCGTCGCCATCATCTGCTTCGACCGCCTCGCGCGCTGGGCGTTCCTTGCGTGGCAGAATACGAGGCTTCGACCTAATAGGTCGACGTGTACGGGAATGAAGCGGGTGGGACACGAGGTGCAGGTCCGGGCGGCGGGCTCGTCGACGACGGTGTTGACGATTAAGGATGTTCATTTCTCGTGGAAGGCGGGGCAGCACTTGTATCTTTGGCTGCCGCGTATCGGACCGTTTGAGGCGCATCCGTATACTATTGCGTGCGCGCATCAGCTGCCGGAGACGTGTACTTGCAACAGTATCCAACTTGTCGTCAGGAAGCACGGCGGTTTCTCCAAGAGACTGCACGACTATGCGGAGAAGATTCCGGCATCTGGGAAGAAGGAAACGCTGACGGGCTTGGTCCTGGGTCCGTTTGGCGCACCGCCGAGGTGGGATATTTACGATACCATGGTTCTCATCTCGGCGTCTACGGGCACGTCCTTCACGCTGCCCATTTTGGAGAGCATTGTTCAGAGCCGCAGGAAGACATGTATTACAAGGATCGAGTTCATTCTCATGGCATGCCAGGGTGAAGAGATCGAATTCTATAGGCAGCGGCTGCGGGAGTCAATGGAACGCGCGCAGCAGAACGGCATCGAGCTGCAGGTGCACATCGCCGTTACGCGGTCGGGCAAAGCCAAGGAAGGCGAGGCGACGACGGTCCTCTACTCAGACCGAGAGGGGAGCTCTAGTTCTAGTTCGTCTGCGAAACACAGGAGGATCGTCTCGGATGACTCCGTGGATGGTGGTGGCGGTGGAGGGTGTTGCCAGGAAAAGGGGCTGGACTTGGAGAAGGGCGACGAGGTGTTGCTTACACCCAGAATCCGGAGCGGTTCGGTGATGAGCATGGTGAAGGAGTATTATTCTCGCCCTGATCTGGAGGCTCTGATTCGGGAACCCGTCGAAGCTGCGGGCGGTGAGACGTCGATCGTTGTTTGCGGTGGGCAGTCGTTGACGAGTTCGGTCAGGAATTGCGTGGCCTCGCTGTCGGATGAGAGGGCAGTCCATAAGGGGACGGGCGCACAGGGAATCCATCTTTTTGTTGAGGAGTACTCGTTTTAGATTATATCCACGTAAGGAATAATTCATGCAGGCCGCGTACTCATATTGCATGTGAACTCCTGGAGGAATTGACTTGAGAGGAAAGTGTTGGATGAATCTATCTACCTAGTTATTATGGGTGATGATTATGAGTCCAGAAGGATGGTTTCATCTGGCTCAATTAGTACATTTATTACCGGCTTCATCAGCAGCATGTATAAATAGTCTTATCAAGAGAGAGCTTACGCGGTGAAGATCACGAAGGATTGTTCTCTTCCACTAGTCATGGTCAACGTAGCCTACGATGTCTAGTGTGAAACAAGATGAAAATAATAGACATTTCGTATATATATATCCACTCGAGGTACTCATTCTTCGTCATTGTATGTGAGAGATTCATGGACTGATGATGAGTTTTGTGTGAAATGGTAGAGGTGAGCTCACCGAGATCCGCGGGGAGATTGCCCCTCCATATGCGACTCACCGAGAATGATTACCCCTCCACTCGGTGAGCTCCGGTGAGGCCCCACATCACCGTCCAGCCAACCACAGGGACGAATGGCTCAGTGACTCAGGCTGGTCGTCGGTCCGCAATTTTTTCTCTGCGGGTGACAAACATCGGCCACCAGCCCTCAGCCCAGCGACCCCTCCCCCTCCTTGCCTTTTTTTCTTTCCTCGTCCCCCTGCAGCCCAGTCCCCGTCGTCGAGTCTCTTAATGACTAGCGTCGCGCGCTTCCTCTTCTCTTCTTCTTCTTTACTTCGTTCAGCCCACGTTTATCCCACAAGCCTTCGACGAGGAGCTTCTTCTGCCGCTTCAGCCTTCGTCCACCATCCTCCTCGACGACGACCTCCAACGGCCACCGCGCGACTCTTCTCCTCGACGGCTCCGAACCGGTCGACCCTCGCTAAACCTCCACCCGCCCCCACCGTCACACTCGCGACAATGGCCGACCAGATCACGGCGCAGCTCGAGAAGCTCTCCGTGAGCAAGCTCGAGTCCTACCCCGGCTGCTACCCCGAAGTCAACCCCATCGACGTCTACCGCTCCCACATCACCTCGCTGCTGCAGCCTGTCACTGGCGTCGAGAGCACCATCATCTACAACGCCCTCCAGTGGACCCAGAGCTTGGATAAGGGCGACTTGGTGCTGGCTGTCCCTGCTCTTCGCATCAAGGGCAAGAAGCCTGCTGATCTCACCGCTGAGTGGCTCGACAAGGTCAGTCTTGAATCAAGATCATGGGGCTAATCTATGCCCCTGGAGCAATGCGCGCTGGTGGCTCTCTCGTAGTACTCTTGAGCATTAGACTAACACGCCTTGGCTACAGATCCCCGAGTCTCCCTTGATCGAGAAGCCTGTTTCTTTCCAGAATGGCACTTTCCTCCAGTTCTGGTTCAAGCCCGGCCCCCTTTCCCAGATCCTGATTCCCCAGGTCAGATCTCGCGGCATCGACTTTGGCAAGAACCCCAACAACGGCCTCAAGAGCGCCAAAGATCCCTCACAGGGCAAGAAGAAGATCATTGTCGAGTTCTCCTCGCCGAACATCGCGAAGCCTTTCCACGCCGGTCACTTGCGGAGCACCATCATTGGTGGCTTCATCGCCAACCTCTACGACGGCGCCGGCTGGGATGTGTCCCGTATCAACTACCTCGGTGACTGGGGAAAGCAGTACGGTCTTTTGGCTCTGGGCTTCGAGAGGTTCGGTAGCGAGGAGGCGCTTGCCGCTGATCCCATCAACCACCTGTACGAGGTCTACGTCAAGATCAACAGGGATATGGCCGACGAGAAGGATCAGATCACCGCCAAAGAGCAGGCCGGCGAGGACGTCACCGCGCTCAAGGACAACAGCCTCGACGAGCAGGCTCGCAAGTACTTCAAGGCCATGGTCGCCGGAGACGACAAGGCCGTGGCTCAGTGGAGGCGATTCCGTGATCTCAGCATTAAGCGTTACAAGGAGACCTACGCCCGTCTCAACATTCACTTTGACGAGTACTCAGGCGAGAGTCAAGTCTCCGAGGCGGATATGGAGGCTGCTGCCAAGAAGCTCGAGGACATGAAGATTTCCGAAGAGTCGGAAGGCGCCGTCATCATTGACTTCACCAAGCACGTTCCCGGAAAGTCAGGCAAGAGTCTGGAGCGCCCCATTATTCGCAAGAAGGACGGCACAGCTCTGTACCTGACCCGTGACATCAGCGAGCTTCTCCACCGTGAAAAGAAGTACAACTTTGACCACATGATTTACGTCGTCGCTTCTCAGCAAGATCTCCACTTGAAGCAGCTCTTCAAGATTATCGAGCTCATGGGCCATGGCGAGACGGCCAACAAGTGCCAGCACATCAACTTTGGTATGGTTCTGGGAATGAGCACCCGTAAGGGTACTGTCAAGTTCTTGGATGACATTCTGCGCGACGTCGGAGACAAGATGCACGAGGTGATGAAGAAGAACGAGGCCAAGTACTCCCAAGTCGCCGAACCGGAGGCCACGGCCGACATTCTTGGCATCAGCAGTGTCATGGTCCAGGATATGAGTGGAAAGAGGTATGTCGTCCGGACTTTTCCTTCCAGGCGCTTTCGGATGCACTGACACAATTGGCCCAGGATCAACAACTACAAGTTCGACATGGACACCATGACCTCGTTCGAGGGTGACACTGGACCGTATCTCCAGTACGCCCACGCTCGGCTGTGCTCCATCTTCCGCAAGGCTGGAGTCGCTGAGGAGGAGATCGCAAAGGCTGACCTTGGCTTGTTGACGGAGAAGCATGCTATCGAGCTGATCCGCGTCATTAGCCAGTACCCCGACGTTGTCCAGAACACTCTCAAAACCTTGGAGCCCACTACTGTGCTTACGTATCTGTTCCGCCTCACGCACGTCGTCAGCAGCAGTTACGACGTGTTGCGTATTGTTGGAAGCGAAGCTGAGCTCCAGAAGGCCCGCTTGGCGCTGTACATGGCCGCCAGGACCGTGCTCTTCAACGGCATGCGGCTCTTGGGACTGTCCCCGGTCGAGAGGTGAGCTCTTCTCTTCATGCGCTGTCGCGCTCTGCCGCCTGGCATGTGAAACTTGATGCTGACCACCCCACCAGAATGTAAACTGGCATCATGACGGAATCATTACTGCGAGACGAGAGACGAGAGTGGAGGAGAATGATGTGGTCGCATCAAGATGACTTGAACAACCAAAAGATAGTGCAGGATCATGAGCGGAGTGACCTCCCACGGCCACAAAAGTGTTCGTACTAATGACGAACTCGGGCATAGGAGAGCTGCTACTGCGTAACAGGTCGGCACAACGGCTACTAGCCATCAGCCACAATGTGGTGCCATTCCATGATGGCCGACGGCGCGAACCGGTGTGGCGTCGCGCGACAAAGAGACGTTTTCGACCAAAGAAGCCATCGACCGTTTCGGTGTACTCGAAGTCCCCGTGGCCGTCTGTGGCCGTCGTCGTTATCGTCGGACAGACAGCATGAGCCACACAGGATTCGCGTGCACCAGCCCACTAGTGCTGAGTAATTGAAGAGACAAATTTTTTACCATTTATTACCCCCGATTGGAGGCAAAGGAGTCATTCATCTGCAGTGAAGTTTGATGTGCAGGTGGCGGCGGCAATCAATTCTAGTAGGGCTGCTATCTGCTATCTGCAGAAGAAGCAGAAGCAGAAGCAGAAGCAAAAGCAGCAGCAATAGCAACAGCAGCAGACTGGAGGCAAAGCAGACGAGAGGTCGCGCGACGAGTGTTTCGTATGAAGCAGGAGATTGGTCCGCCTACTCTCAGGTGAGAAAAGTCTGACCCATGATGACTGTCAAAGCAGACTGTGACTGTGCAGCTCGAGCTGTGAGCCACGGTGCCACGACACTCACAACAGGTGGCCCTCTCCCCTGACGCTCTCCCTTTAAGGAGTCAAGAGGCGTTCGACTTGTCTAGGAGTCAACATGTGGCTTTTGTCTGACGCTCGGTGACTGGCGTGGGGGAGTTCCATTCCTGGGCGCCAACCAAGTGATCTTCCCGCTCGGATCCCGCTAGGGCGTACTAATCCCTGCCAACACCGAATCTTGCATATGCTCGAAACACTAGAGTTGCGATGGCTCTCGACGGCTCTGACTGGCTCTGACTAGTTCTCACTGCCTGTCGCTGGCTCTCATTCGATCTGCGGATGGCTGTTGGCTACCAATTTCCGGCCGCATAGCTTCCGCGACGCCGTGGCTTGCAGTTGATCGACATCCACAATCTACACATTGAGAGTCGATGACTACGTGAAGTCTCTCTATCGACGTCTTCTGGTCAAGTGCCGGAGGGAACCCAAGAACAATATTGACGATTTATCCCTACCTTGTGTTGGACATTGTGAGTTGTCCAAGAGTCCAAGGCCGAGACTGACATTTGCCCAGGCTCCGGAACACAATGGCAACGGTGCATCCGGCGTGGGGCACCATGCGGATCGGCCTCACCATCAAGGCGGAGGGTTGACATTCTCGTCCTCGTCCTCCTCCCTCTCAAGCTTCCGCTCTGAACGGAACAACGCGCAAACGAAGGAAGCGAGAGCGTCGTGTAGCGGCGAGCGGACGTGCCTGGCCTAGCCCTAGAATGGTTCCAGAGGGAATGTGACAGCAGCTCCTTTTGACAATTTTAGGCAATAGAGCAGTGCGATTTCGTCTGCTCGTATGCTATCCTTGGTTTTAGCTGCAAAGCTAGCGTACTGCCCGGTGAAGTGGCTCGGTGTCTGTGCCGAGACCGGACGGGCCCCGACCTCCGGTAGCCCACCGCAACAGCTCTACCTGACGCCGGTGCCTGGGCGCCTGGTTCAGACGCCCAGTCGACGAGGGCAAAGTGGGACGAGGATGATCCTGTCCCTCTCCGCGGGCACTACGGACTTGGACATGGGACAGCTTGGTAGTCACGGTGGCGTGTTTACTCCTTGCTGCGGTGAGACGTCGACTCGGCCAATCTTCTGGCCCCTGTGTTTGGAGCTCTCGCGGATGCAACGCGCATCCCACAGTCACCTCATATTCTAACCGTCTCC